TAAAAAATGAGACCAGAATATCACAAATTAAAAATGATAGTGATAAAGTGAAAGTTAAAACAATGACTAGATATACTATATGCATATAGTTCGTATACCTCTGTAAAAAGAGTAGTGTCTGGTAAGACTCTATAGTTAGAGTTAATCACAGTATTTAATTTCTTCCCCATAAAAAGAAATTTCTAAGATAAACTGATTTTACAGTTATTACAAAATTCAACACTTGCAAATATTTATTCAGTGCCCTACCATGAGCCTAGTACTGTGCTAGAAGCATATCTAATTAATGTTAAAGAGGAATAATGAATTAAAAACCACATGTATATGGTTGTTAAAAGACTACTATACCATAATAAAAGGTCAATTCTCCATTTTTCGATCTATTAAACATGACAAGATCACGTATTAGTAGCACAGATTATAAAATTACCTTGAATTATATTATACTATTCAAAGTGAGTGGCAATGATTAGTCTACATTCTCTTGTCCAAGCTTCCTTGTGACAAATAGCATAACATCAGCTTCATTAAATCCTGTTGCAAAGTACAAATGCTAGCTACATATATGAAATATAGAAAATCCAGCCTAATTCTACAACACAGCTTTTATTCTCTTTTGAAGGCCTTATCAATGCTGTCTAATCAAGAGGAGCAATACATCTCTTGGATCTAACGGCATACTCAGTGAGAAAGGTATTATTCAGAGGTGAAGTTTTTCTTCAATATCTAGTACACCAGAGAAAACCCAAAATTCTTCTAAAGTGTGACTATCATTATTGTCTTCAAAAGTTCTCTATTCTCTACTGGTGATAAAATTAAGACAGTTTCAGGACAATTTTGGCGGGTAGGCTATATTTCCAAAGATGGCTGCAACACACCTTTTGCAATGAGACCTTGCCACTTCCTTGTCAAGTGGTAGAGTTTATTCCACTCTCCTAAAATCTGGATGGCCCTGTGACCTACTCTGTTCACAGGAGCAGATGTAGTGAAAGTTACATTGTACAACATCATAAGCTGGGCCTTAAGAAATCTGCGACTCTTGTCTGACCCCCGAAATGCCCATGTAGAACCCGCTAAATCCTATGATTAAGTGGGAATTGTTCAACGCATCCTCTGAATATGCTCTTCCTACATTATTTCTTGCTAGAGATGGTTTTAAATAACCAAGGCAACTTCAAATCCCAACAGCAATAAGCTTTAATGCCTAAAGTAATTCTTCTCAAATAAAAAGTATAACACCTTCCTAAAATTCTGAAAAGGCTATCCATATAAAAAAGGCCCAAACATCTTTTTTGGGGGGTAGGGGGGCAGGGAATCCTCTGAGCTTAAAAAACCTGGGCTTAAATCCCAACTATACCACATTATTTGAGTCTCCATTTTACCATCTCTAAAATGAAAAAAATAATTGTGAAAATTCAATGAGATAATAATAGAAAAGGGTTTATAAATGGTATGACATTGTGCAAAAAAAAGGGAGAAATTATTATTCAATAGGCCATTCTGTACATAGTAAGATTATAATTCCACAGAAGTGGTTCTGGGTTGCTGTATCCAGCTTTCTGAAAGCACGAATTTGGGTTGTGATTTTCACAGAACTAGGACATGAGGTTCAAGTACAGGAGACTCAGCAGGTACTGGTCTTCACATATTCATTCAATAGATATTGATTGGGCATTGATGATACAGCAGGCATTGTTCTAGGCACATGAATGCAGCATGCACAAAACAAAATCTAGGCTCTCTTGGAACTTTTATATGCATGACTAGAGATACATTATCATGCTAATAAGCGCTAAGAAAAGAATAAATAAATCTAGGTAAGAAGACGGACAGTAATGAGGAGGAGAAGAGATAATTTTAGGAAGTCCTCTCTGATAAGGTAAAATTTATTTGGAGACCTGAATGAAGGGAACAAACCAAGCATATATGTATAGAAAGATATTCCAGGTAGTAGGAACAGCCACTGCAAAATCCCTATAGTATCATGCTCATTAGGTCTACAAACAGCAGGGAGGCTGGTGCAGCTGAGATGGAAGCATCAAGGAGAAGTGGTAGGAAATGAGAGCAAAGTGCCAGAGGAGTCTAGATCAGGTAAGATCTGGTGGACCAGAGCAATAACTCCAGATTTATTCCAAATGAGAAGGGACACCGAAACAGGTTAAGAACAGAGGAGAAACATAACCTAATCTACCTTTTAAAGAGACCATTCTGTCTTGGTGTAGAATACATCGTGGATGGGAAGCAGGAACCTAAATAGAAAGCGTTTGTAGCTGTCCTGGCAAGAGATGATGCAGCTTCAACTCAGGTTGTAGTAGTCAGGTGGGTGAGAAGAGGTTGCATCCTGGATCTATTTCAAATCAGAGCTGGTGGATTTGCAAATAGATTGGGGGTAACGGGTAGGGGGAAAGTGAGGAGTCAAGAAACAGATGGATTATGCTGTCACCAGGAAAACAAAAGGATAATTTTAGGTTAGTTTTGCTGAAAGATAACCAAAAAGTAGGTCATTTTTAGTATCAGGTTTTCAATGTCCTGGGAAAAAAAAATGTAAATGCCAGTAAGCTCTTTAGAAATCATTTAACTGACATATAAATATACTGATTTGAGGAAATATTATGAGATACATAAAAGGAACTCAAATTCTATTTTCTTTAGTTAAAGCTTTATAACTAAGCACAGCTGCAGACTGCCCAGGCATAATTATAGCTCCACCTGGCACGCAAGCCCCTTGGTTTGAAGCATAGCATTTCATTAATAAAATGAAAGAACGTGTGAAATTGTATTTTTAAACAGCTGAAATGAAAGGAGACTTGTAGGTGGCAGGCTCTCTTGGTTCAGTCACAACCTAATATGTTAAAATGTCACATGAACATTGCTTGTCACATATCCCATCTTAACATGAGTGAAGTTGCCTTACCATGGGGTATTCGGGTAATACACAGGGCTTTCTTAATGTACTCTTTTAACTTCAGAGCATTCAAGGAAAGGAAAAGGCACAACCCAGAAGGAATCCTTATTGCACTTACATTCTGCAAATATCTTTTTCTTGAGACTATCAGTTTACTAAGAAGCAATATTAAAGAAAATGTGCATAACTGATAATAATTATATTGACTACTGTCCAATTATTTCTCATTTATTTATTCATGCAATTATTTGCATTTCACTATATTATTAAATTATTGCATACACTAATCAGCATCACAACTCCCAAATATGACATTTTCAATTCCTCCTGGATCTACCAATAAAATCCAAGTACTCTCTTACAAAAGAAAATATCTATGTTTATACTCTATAGGGTCTAATATTAAATAAAAAGAAGAAAATTTAATCTTATACTGTTTCAAATTATTCATCTTACAGATGAGAATACTTACTTTCTATCTAGACCCTACTATCATATACTAAATCATAACTCTTCAAAATAAGCTAAAATATGTTTTTAGAAATAAAAGAATTGATAAACCACTAGATAGCAGTTGTTTTTAACACAATTCTCCTAAAAACTTACAGCTAAGCTAACAAAAATAATGTTTATGAATAACAATTTCATAATTGACTTAATAACTCCATAGAATTCTTTTCAAATGCTCATAAACCATTTTTAATTGGCAATGCCAATGGTAAGCCATAAAAAAATTACACAGCTACATTCTCTGGCTACAGGGAAATAAAGAAATTAACAAAATCAAAACCAAAAACTAACCACTTAGAAACTTTAAAACACTTTTCTGAATAACTCGACATCTAAAAAGGAAATTATAGACTATTTAGAATATAGTAATGATTCCTACTAATAAGAACTAGAACTTCTTGGGGAAATAAGAGATTCCAGATCTGGGGCAGGAGCTGTACAAGATATGCCTAAGACATCTTGTTGTATCAGAAAACAAGAAAACTATGAAAGACTACAAGGGTCATGTGAAAAGGACCTTAGGAACCAATGCAAATGGCCTTCCATTACCCAAAGATGGGACAACGTGAACACTGAAAAAATAATACTACAATGGATTAAAACACATTAAACATATTAAAATCTATGCACTTGTAATAATACTTTAAAAATGGTCACTTCAGGAGGTTTCTAGAGCACCAATACAATCTGAAAAGTGGCAAATATAAGACTCAAGAATTTATCCTGTTCTTCTCTATGAAATCTATTTCATGGTAAACACTCAGTTAATATAAAGAAATCACAGAATTGAAACTCACCATTTTGCAACCCATAATGAAATAATGCATCTTGGCAAAGATCATAAATGGCTGCTAAAACCATTAGATAATACTGAGGAGGAACCTTATAATGGATGGATCAACCTGGAAACACTTGAGCCACTAATCAATCTTAATATCATAAGGAGAAGCAATCAGATATTATGGGCCTCTTGATATGATGTAATAGGAAATGCACAGTACCACCTATGAAAGATTCTTGCCAAAAATATTAAATTCAAGCTTTTACTTGTAACCAACAGTTTACAGGAAATATAAACAACAGGATGGAGATACACTCAGCCAAATTTTGCAAAACAAATGCTCATTTCTTTACCAAAAAAAAAAAAAAAAAGGATAAGAACAAAGAAGAGGGAGAAAGGTCTGATACAAACTGAAAGAGACGTATCAACCAAATGCCATATGTGAGCTTTATTTGATTGCTGATTCAAACAAACCAAGTGTAAAAGGATGTTCATGAGATGAGTGGGGAAAATTTAAACACTGACTGCCAATTAAATGATATGAAGAATCATTTACACTTTTTCATTTGGATATAATGATGTTTATTTAAGAATTCAAATCTGTTAGAGATGCAAATAAAATAATATTATTTGCAGATAAAATAATATATCTAGCTTTGCTTTGAAATAACCCAGATGGTTGGACGAGATTGGCCGTATTTGTGGAAACTAGTGGTATAAAACTAGAGCTTCATTATTCTAGTCTCTCTTTTGTAATGATTAGAAACACTCATAATAAAATGTGTTTTTAAAGAATTTAATGACGTGTTGTATGAAAGGAAAAAAGGTTAGCACTCCCCTTGACAAGGATGGAAGAGGCTCTCGAGCCTGACAACATGTATATGGTTAAAGAATTTAATGATAATGACACTATCACACATCAAAATGTATCAGATAAGGAATGATGTCAGCATCATGACAAAATAAAATATCCCTTGGTTTGTCTCCTTCCCCCAGCAATAATAATTCAGCATCCATCCACAAACATAAGTGCCTTGTACGAGCTACAGGATACAGCACCATAGGCAAGGTATCCAGGAGGAGTCTCACTCATTCATGTACCAGGTAATAGGCATACAGATCTCAGTCCCAGCTGTGGACCCTGCAGTGACCCATGAACTGGCTCTAGCCACTCTTGGCCATGGTCTAAGAGCCCTTGGAAAACACTGCCTTTGACAATCAATCATGGACAAGAGAGCCTATATGGAAGTCCAAGTTTCCAGATGAGAAGATCTAATACATAACTGAAGAAAAAAAATATGAGTTTGGATGAACTGGGGAGCATATAAAAGGCTTAATCTTACCTGCTCCACCCTTCCAAGGAAGTACAACTTAGGGACAGGATAGAATTTTTCAGCCTGTGATTTCTCTTGCTGGAGAAAATGAAAGCATGTAAGTAAGCACATAGCTTCCCCAGCTGTGTGGGACACTGTCAAAGAGCTGCATGACTCGGGGGCAGGAAGAGGCTGGGAGTATGCAGCAGATGAGACTCTCAGAGGGCATTAAAAGACACAAATCCTACCAAATGGACTCTATCAAGAAGTCCACACGTGATCCACTGGCAATGCTTGACCCACAGCTCCAGCTGGTCTGCCAGCACTGCCAGTGCTCAGCACACCTCACTCACATGCACCCCAACTCTATGGCAAGCTCCCTGTGCACACTCCCAATTGTGGTTACAAGAGCAAGCTTTGGTAGATGGATAGTAAACACAGAGAAAGCTGGTCCAAATCTGTGGGCCAGGAGTAGACCACAGATAGGGATCTTTAGTGTTATCTTTTGAAAAAACAAAAGGGAGGCTGTCAGCGCCCAGCCTAGTGCATAGCAAAATCAAGAGAAGACATACAAGCTTAAGAGTTCTGCCAAGAAGGAGAAAAAGAGTAGAGCAGGTGTACACACAGAAGGTCTAAGAAAGCCTCAGAATCACTAGCAGAGCTGACAAAAGGTATTTCTCTCTGAAAGCAGTTAATAAAACTGGAGGAGGTGACTGCTACTTCAAATGTGAAGACAGCAATGCAGCGCTTCAAAGAATATGAAAAATCAAAGAAATGTAACATCACCAAAGGATCACAATAATCTTCCAGTAACGAATCCCAAAGTCATAAAGATCTGTGATTCACCTGATAAAGAATTCAAAATAGCTGTTTAAAGGAAACTCAATGAGCTACAAAAAAAAAACAATGAAAGGCAATTCAATGAAATCAGGAAAAATACATGAACAAATTGAGAAGTTTAACAAGGAGATAGAAATCAAAGAAAAACCAACAGAAATTCTAAAACTGAGTAATATAACGAATGAAATGAAAAATACAATAGAGAGTATCAATAGCAGAATGTATCGACCAGAAGAAAGAATCGGAGATAGAACACAGGAACTTTGAAATTAACCAGTCAGAAAAGAAGAAAAAAGAATGAAAAAGAGTGACGAAAGCTGACGTGATTTATGGGATATCATCTAAACAATCAGTGTGCAGATTATTGGTGTTCGAGATGAAGAAAAAAGGGAGAAGGGAGCAGAAAGTCAAAAAATAATGGCTAAGACTTTCGAAGTCTGGGAAGAAATTTGGAATCTCATAGGTCACCAAAGAAACTCAACTTAAATAGTTCTCCTCCAAGAATAGTTAAATAAAAGACATTAAGTAAAACTTTCAAAAATCAAAGACAAAGAAAGAATCTGAAAAACAGCAAAAGAAAAGAAGCTTGTAACTTACCAGGGAGCCCCTATAAGACTATCAATAAATTTCTCAGCAAAAGCTGACAGGCTAGGAAAGAATGAAGTCATATATTCAAAGTGCTGAAAGAAAAATCTGCCAACCAAGAATACTCTATGTAGCAAATTATCCTTCAGAAATGAGAAAGACTTTCCCAGACAAACAAAAGCTGAGGGAATTCATAACCATTAGACCTGCCTAAAGGAGTCCATTCATCAAGAAGCTATAATAATTATAAATATATATGCACCCAATATCAGAACATCTAAATATATTAAGCAAATACTAACATATTTAAAAGGAGAAAAGATAATACAATAATAATAGGGAACTTCAATACCCCACTTTCAACAACGGACAGATCATCCAGGAAGAAATTCAACGAGGAAAGA